TACATCATCGCGTGGAAAAGTAAGAGAGTTACATTGTTCGTAACATTTGTACGAATCCTATTTCAGAAGATCTCATTCCAAGATATTATTAAATGTTTCCATAAGACTGGAATTCCTTGCAAATCTGTTTTCGATGTCTTTTAAGTAATACACGATGATGCATAAAGCAATCGTATCGTTGGAAATTGTAAAGAAAATAGAGAAAGTACTGTGGTATAACAATATTTTTACGAGTCCAAGAACTACATTCGCGTCGTACATCGATACTCCTTTCCTATACGCAATTATCTCGAAACCGATCTTATCACGCAACAAGTTCGGCTATTTTCAACGAATGACGTTATATCGAGCAAGAAATCGAGAAAAAACGTGTTGCAATGTTCAAGGTTATGGGTCGATCGCACGTTACCGTGGACAGACTAATTCGTCGTCTCAAAAATTGCTCTATAAACACCCTATCTCTGGTAATGTCTACATCGGCTGTTAACCTAATCTCGCGCGCGTCGAGCTTGCATGGCCGCGGCGCGTACGCCGAGCCGATCGTAATAAAAAGAAACCGTGTATAATATATAATGGGCCTATCTTCGTAATAACTCGTAGTTACTTCGGCCACGGTAGATCTTGCCGATAATTCCAAAGACAGCCATAAGCCGGCCGTTGTGCACATGCTCGCCTCCGATCCTCTAGGAAGGCCAGGACCCGTCGACTAATTTATTCCTCGTGCCCGACCCGAAACTCTTTGTATTTTATAGTGGCAACGTTATCCATCGATGCATCGATTTTTCCTGCGCCAACCATTTGCGGATCTCGCGTCGACGATTTTAATCTCGACTCGATGAAATTGTAGAAGGTGCACGGGAAATTCAAATGTCAAGGCTCAACAACGGTATTTTTCACGGAGAAGATGGATACGCGAATGGAACTTGGTTGAATTTAAAGTAAAACGAGATAAACGAGAAACAGATGATCGCAAATCGGTCGTCTCTATCTTACGGAAATTTCGTTATTTCAGTGTCAGAGTATATCTCTTTTGTGAACGGAACGCCAAAGAACTTAGAACGTACTTCTAACTTTCTATAAGATTTAATTACTGCCTAATTGGCGACCAGCTGCTGGCTCCAGAAGAATATTCGTTTCTTCTGTCTTTCTCGCCTCTTCGACGTACACATCCACGCACATCTGACAAATGAAAGAACCCGGTATCAATTTCCCTAGACGACGGCTCATTAAAAGTTATCGATCACTGCTTTGCTAACGTATTATTATATTTATTAGAGGTCATTATCCATATTAAATTTTCTTAATTACGTTTAACCGATCTAATAACGTCTTACGATAATGCGCTAGCCTATGTTCGATCTCTGCTGCTCTTTTGCATAAATTATCGCGGGGACAGCGACCGGTGTAACTGCGAGCTGGCAATGAATTGATCGCCGGCCATTTTTATCACGAAACATTTGTAGTAATTAAATTAATTCCGCCGGGATTCGTTCGGTCGTGGATTGCCTAACGAATGATTGATGAACGTTATATTCTCATTACCAGTCGCTACTGTGGGAACATATGTACGTATAATATGCAGTATATAAGCTGCTACATATGTTCCTTATATATCTCGAGCGTACCAGCATCATTAAGAACAGTTTACCCGGTCTTTCATTAGTCATCGCAGATTTAATACGTCGTTTGATTTCATCCGTAGAACAGCAGGTTCGCCGTCGTTTCGTTCCTTTTTTAAAAGAGGCTCAGGTATCGTAGATTTTGTACCGAGACAAATCGCGTGAAACGGTACATGGAAAGAGAGACGGATCTCTTTGCTGAATTCTCGTTAAAACGTATTGATTTACAATTCGTTATTGCGTACGCGTCGTCGTACATTGAATGAAGATTGCTCGGGAAACGAATGACGCAAGCTAACCGAAGCATATTGCGAAATTTAAGGATTTGCCTTCAATTTTGTCAATAAGTTCTCCATTGGCATGTTAATCTTAGGCGTGTGGAATTTTCCAATTGTGGAACATGTAAGTTTTCAAATTTCTAAATCTTCAAGAATTATAAAAACAAATCTGCAATTCGCAACTGTACCATTTGCAATTACACCGATAATCTCGTTAAACTCTTGCATCTCAGCGTTACGTAGAAACGAATATTATTTGCATATCATAATTTCAGCAGATTTATTATATCCGTTTGTTGGAAGATCCTAAATCGATCGTAGCCGAGTTCCTCAATTAGAACAGCGAGATTGCAAAGACTGCGCCATTTTTTCGCGTCGTGATACGCATGCCATAACGATTTCATTCTCGTGGCCGAAACTACAAGCGAACCTGCTAGACCCTTGTCCCCAGTCATGAATAACAAATGCACGTAACGACGAGTTTCCTGAAAACGAGAACACCGCCATGGGCGTGTCTCGCGTGACGAGTATCTCTTTTTTGGATCGATTTGCCGGTTCATTTCGCAAGTTCTTCCTATTCCAGACACGATCCGCGATTACAAACATCGAGTTATTATCGTGAGCAAACTTCTGCTTATGTCAAATGTCGCGTGCGGTAGATTATTGCCGAATGTTATCGCGTTACCAAGAAAGTACTAATCGATAGTTTGACTAGCCGAACAAATTGAAATAATCTGGTAAGAAAAAAATGCTGATTCGTTGAGTCGATCAATCTATTCGCTCTCTTCCTTCGACCCTCCTCCGTTTTGGTCTTGATCTTCAAGTAGTCGATCAATTTCCAATTTTAATAAATCTATTTCCAAAGTAGAAATTTAATTTTTTTAGCGTCGTCGGTTATTTCGTCGATCCTCGCCGAGAAGCAACGTCGTCTGATTCTTCAATAATTTTTTACACTTCGCGAGATACGCTGGATTCTTTGTTTATTCAAACATCTTCATCTCGGTCGAGTGTACTTTTGCTTCTACTCCGCTGCATGGAATTGTAACACTAAATAAACGGACGTGAAACCAATGGAAATCTCTAACGTTCAAGATTTCCTTTTCTACGTAAAGATACTTCGTTCCAAATCTATTTTGAAATGCCAGAAACCAATGGATATAGACCAATGGCAACCGTAGCAGCCTACATCGGAAACGTTTTATTTTCTCTTGGCATTGCCCACGATTTGTTAACCGTACAACGTTACCACTTCATCCAGTTGTCAACCGGATTACGTTATTAGCCGTGTATCGTGTCGCACGACGCGATACCGTTCGTTCGAGGCTGTACGGAAAGGCGGGGGCGGTGGACGGTCGATTTTCATTGCCGATATATGCTCGAGCATTCCCACGTCTCGTCAAGGCATTACCTGGAAACAATCGTGCTTTCTCGGTGGTCGAAGCGTCTCGTCGCTGTAAATTTGATCTTCCGCCCGACTGTTTTGTGAATCCGATACCGGCACGGATCCTTCGCGCGAGTACTCGTAGAATACAAAATGCCTCTTTTTCGTTGTCGCCCGTGACGACGATTTCTTCTCCTCCACCGAAACAGGTTGTATCGAAGGGTTGAACGAAATCGATACCAGATCGACAGCGTTCTGTTGGGCGGTTCGATAATTGGGCAATTTCGGTTTTTCGCTAAGGATGGAATTGAGATTGGAGAAAAGACTTTCGTTAGCGTGGATCAGACGAGTTTGTTATTAATGTGTCGAGCGAATTAGACGAGTTATTTTCTTGAACATTGAAATATCGCCGGAATTTAGATAATCATGAAAGAGGAAACCTATAACGTTGATACGTGCGCTTCAAGTGCGATTGTTGACAGTGGATTTATAGCCGCGTTTTTGTACGAATTCTGTAGAATAGGATGTCTCTCATTACTGTCGAAACTTGTTTTAAATCTTCTTTTAATCCTGATCCGAGATATTAATCCGTGGCAATAAGAATCGCAATCAGCGATCAGGACGAAAAATTCAAATGCAAGTTTGTGTCCGATGTCGTTCTCGCGTGTGGCACGGCCATAAATCTTGGCAAACGGAGGGAAATACGCAAGTTATTAAGCGCGACAGGCGAATGCCGATGATGATCTTATAATTACTCGGATTACAAAAACATAACGAAGACAAATCGACGAGTCGATTCCTTTGAAGTTATGCTTTCCCTCGAATCATCACGCTTGTAACCCAACAACTTGTTTCCACAATCTAATCTTCAATATGTTTTAAAAGCAGAGCAATCCTCGTTAACACGAGCTTACCTATAAATAATATATTCTCGCCTTTCGATGAGATTTAACGTAATTCAGGAAATCATTTGGACGCGCGAAAGTGATTTTGGTTCTCGTTGATCGCGCCCACTGTTCGTTCGACAATCGAAGACGATCGAGAAAGTCAAATAGCATCGCTGCTATAGACAGTGGGCAAGCTCTCGGGTCATTCGAATCTCGTGGGAACTGGTCGTGATTAGTCCACGTCAATAGCAATGCTAGTTATGCTAATTGCGCGAAAGCACTTGGGCCTGCTACCAGCATCGTGCTCTGCAGCAGATAAGCTAGGTACGAAGGTAGTACCTTTGGCTATCGATTTATCGGGCTCACTCCCTCGGAGAGGTTTCAGATCGGCCGCTCTCGATCATTGAAGCGCGATAACTTCGACCGTGGAGCGCGTGAATTTCGTTTCGGATTATAAGGCGATTCAGAAACGGGTATTTTCAACGTATCCTGTATTTCCATTCAAATGTTTGAATATTACATTTGAATATTTGTATTTTAATTAGTAAGGAATTTTTAATCTCCTCTGATCTAAAAGGAAAGAAAAAAAAAAAAGAAAAATTCTTTCATTTTCACACACTCGGCGGAACAGTAAAGTCGAACAAGATCTAACGCGGAACTCGTCTCGCGATACGCGTTCAACGTAGCAGAAGTTCTAATTACACAGTCGGGTAATTCTAAATTCAGGGAATTAACATCTAGGCAGCCGTTGTTTCATTACATCGAGCCAAAGGGAAGCTCATTTTGCAAAATTGATTGTAGCATGCATTAACGAGCATGTTCGTTTCTGTTTCAGGCGGCGGGACCACCGGTGCAACTGGAACCAGTGGATCTGTCCGTGAAAACTCCTGTGGTGTTGCAGGTGCCTCGGTATAGTCCAGCGGCTATAATTACCGCCGCGGCTAGAAGAATCCCTTCACCTTCGACGACGCCTACACCGCCACCGCTCTCCATATCTACGGGTGAGTCGACGAATTTTCACAATGCATGCATACACCTATTCAACGCTAAAGAGATTCTTCGTTAGCGTCAATTCAGAGTGAAAAATGCAAATATCGCAAGCGACAAATTTCTTTATGCGCATACCTTTAATTCTTTCGCCGCGATAAGCCAACGATCGTCATTTCGATATTTGTCGGATCGTTTAAAATACCTGATACATTGTTAACATAGTTTTCTAATACAAGGGGGTCGATAAGCATAGTTAACGCTTAGCATAGTCCGCATTGGGCCGGGGCATTCGAGTGGCGCGTTTAAAATTCCAGCGCTCGCAACACCGTAGAACTACACATTATGAACCAAAGGCGAAGGAAAGCAACACTATCGGCTATCGCCTGTCTCTATGCGCGCGTGTGCACAGGTGCACGATCCTGCATACACCTATAATAGTATCATGGAACAGTCGTGGCTGGAAAGTGGCTGCGCTCTCGCTTATGGATAAAACCGCGGAGATCTCCGGCGATTGCGCTTGCTTTATGGGTTAATTATGGACGATTTTTTCTACATACCGCTTGCGGACGAGCCCACAAACCCTAGCCATTCTATAGAAGATCGATTTGCTCAGCAAACCGCGTTTTACGAACGAGTCAAGGCTATACAAGCGATAGCTCGCGTCCTTGCGAACGCAACCGATTAACCGAGCTGCATTGCTACTAGGATAAGTGTGTTTGCATCGTTAGTGATACAACTCGACTAGGTATAGAGAATTTCATATATTTGGACTTCATTGAATATTGTGATAAATACAAGAGTATGCAAATACTTTTACGCTGTACGAAAGATTCATTCCAGCTAATTATTGAAAGTGACAGGATTTAGATCTTTCGCTTCTACGATTATTAAAAGCGTGCAGGTGCTTTTACAAATTTCATTACGTCTCATGTAAATGTCAAATAGAGAGCAGATGGTAACGCTGTAAAAAAGAAGAGCATTTGGAGAATGTGTGGAGTAGATTGTAGTACTCCTTGCGCTTAACGCGGTCGTAGAACGCGTGGAATTACCTTGTTCCGATAGCCCGTGCCCCGAAACGGTACGACGCAAAAAAAGGACTGGTTCCCGAAACGATCCTATGAGACGTTAATGGCCACCGGAGAACTAGCAGTTACTTAGGCAGCGGTAAAAAGTTGTTACGTTTGCTCGCGTAAAATAGCCACGCGATGTAGCGCGTTTAAACCATTTGGGACCGCGAAATAGTTCGGTCGGGGGCACGGGCCACGCC